TATATATATATATACAAATATATAAGTATATCACAAGACATGAAAACAAAGTCCCGTCTCAGGTGCCGGCGCCGCGGCCCCGCCGTGGGCCGCTCCCGGCGGCCATGGATCTGGAGTTGCAGGTCGGGGCTTGTGTATAGGGGGTTTGGGGTTATAGGGTTTTAGGGGTTTAGGGTTTAGGGTTTAGGGGTTTAGGGTTTAGGGTTATAGGGTTATAGGGGTTTAGGATTTTGGATTTCGGTTTCGGGTGTGGTAGGTTTGGGGTCTGGGTTTCGGGCTTTGGGGCTTTAGGGTCTATAGTCAAGAATCCGAAGGTTTTAGCGTCTGAGGATTTAGGGTTATAGGGATGGGGTTTTGGGGTTGAGGGGAGGTTCGGGTTCAGGGGATTTAGGGGTTGGGGTCTGCTGTATCATATGGAACTATGGTGTGGCATGGCTCAACTGGTGCTAGGGGGTTATACAACCCTAAACCCTAAACCCTAAACCCTAAACCCTAAACCCTACAGAGGTTCTGTGAGTGTCATCTACGGGCTTCAGATCTAGGGTGTAAGAAGCCCTAACCCTCCAGGTACCTACTATACAGGACCCTAGGGGCTCTAGTACCCTATATAGTCTTAGGGGTACTTAGAAATAATTTTTAACCTTTGGTTACTATAAACCGTAAGAAGCAGCTAAAATTATAGTTTTTGCTAGGGGTCTAAGTTCAGTATAGTAGTAGGTACCTGGGGGGTTAGGGAAGTTTTGGGTTCAGACGTTTTGACTCAGCAGCCGTCAGACTCTGAGTTAAATGGTTTGGGACCACGGCCGGTTTGAGTTGAACAACTGGGTTCTTGGTAAGGGATTCAATTTAAGTTACCATAATAGGGAAACCATATTATTTACTATAGATCCCTATTATGGTAACTTAAATTAAATCCCTTAGCAAGAACCCAGACAACTCCTGAGTGCCGGCCACATGTAGGTGTCTCCTGCCATTTTGATCAACAGCGCTTGTTTTCCTCATCGCGCGCCTTACAAGACACGCCATCGAATTGCAGAGGTTGGTGCGTGGTTGGTCTTTCTTCGATGTCATAACAAGAATCCTGCTGCTAGGGTGTTTGCGGCAGTACCAGCTGCATCCGCTACACTCTCATACCGTATTTAGCATCATAGGAATCTGGAAACAGGGGTCCATTGCTTCCTGAAGCATCTATGCTGCTGACGAGGTCGACGACCTCGCGGCGCAGATACCTGGCGCCGGAGGCCTCCCACTGTGTCAAAGCTCACGTATAGATTCCTCCACAAGGGTTCTTTTGAGAGTCCCTAAACCCTAAATCCTAAA